TGTTTCAGCGGGTCGACAATAGGTTTGAAGTGTCTCTCCAATGCGATGTCCTCATCCATTTTACCAGTCTTCGAAGCGCGGTATTTTTTGCGAATCGAATCACTCGTTTTCGCAATCTCCTTAGCTACTTTCTCACGATCTTTGCTGTTGTCCATGTCAACGTATCGATATCAACTGATCGCATCACGGTATCGCAAAGTTATTAAATTCTTTTCTGTATCGCCCATCGGTAAGCGCATTGTCCATGTCAATTACTAGAAAAACTTTTGCTGCCAACATTTACGACATAAATCACAGAAATTCTCGTACGGCATGTCGGTATTCACGTGATCGTTGTACACGCGTTTCAGATTGGTACCATCCTGTTTGAACAGGATCAATAGATTTGCATTGTCGCGGATAAGGTGCTTGGGTATCTTTGCATACGTCTGGCAGAGATAGAAGCAATTGACGTCCGCGTGCCGTCCCATTGCAAAGTACTCTCTTATCGCGTCCTGCTTGTCGCATACCACGTCATCAAAGATAAAGATGGAATTCGGAAGCGCCTCGCTCGGTGGAATGACGTCGCTGTTATTGGAGAACGTAAAATAGCCAATTTCTTCGATAGGAGCTAGCAGATTCGCCAGCAACCGAAATATATCGATATTTCGGTTGCTGCAACGATTTCGAGTACACATACACGTTCTCGAATCCTACGCCGTGCGGACTTTCCAATAGGCTTATCAACACGTTCGTCTTGCCACAATTTGACGGTCCGCAGACGATCGCGCGTATAGAGGCTAGTAGCATGTTGCCATGCTTGCACGTCTCTTTATCGGTTTGTACTTTGCCGTCGAGATTTGTCACTTTAATCATCCGCGATTGGCGCACGAACCGCATATTTCCTCCTTCCACAAAATACTGAAAACGATATCGCGAGCGGGTCTATTTATAGAGCTGCGTAGAGCGAAATCGCTCAGTAATCAAAATGTTTCTCGTCGTGTCAGACGATCTGCACAGTTTAACTTCAAAAGAGCTGGAATACATACCGAAAATTGTACTGCTGCGACAGTTTGAATATTGTATAGATTTGTTGTGGGATAGATTACCCGAGCATATACGAGCAGATTCGGAAGTACAGCGATACCGTCGATGCCTGAAGCATTACAATTTGCCGACTCATCAAACGCATATCGACGGTCCGGCGCCTTTGATAAAGAATTGTAGCGAATGCCGTCGAAAGGCTTACTAAATCGTGCGATAAACGCGCTTCCCTTCGAACTACATATTCCCGGATATCAGTTTTGCGGTCCGGGGACGCGATTGGAGAAGCGATTGGCCAGAGGCGATCGAGGTATTAATCCATTGGATGCTGCGTGTCGCGAGCACGATATAGCGTATTCGCACAGCAACGATCTCACCGAACGACACGCGGCTGATAATATACTCGCTGAGAAGGCGCGGAAACGCATTACCGCGAGTGATTCGACTCTCAGAGAGAGAGAGCCGCAGCCACAGCCGTTTGGGCAGCTATGAAGGCCAAAACGAAGATTAGTATGGGCTTGAAAACAAAGAAGAGGAGCAAGAGGATTCTTCCGACAGCGAAACGCGGCGGCGTCCTACCCGTTCAACCGCTGCTCGGCGTTCTCGGATCATTGGTCGGCGGGGCGGCCGGAGTCGCCAAGGCCGTAAACGATAGCAAAGCAGCGCAGCGTCAACTGGAAAGACCTACGCAGATCATTTACCTTCCGATCGTCGTACGGAGCATTACTGATCTGACGATTCGCGTGGTGGACCAAGACGGTCGATTGCTTGATTTTCGCGGAGAAGAGATCACCGTTAGATTGCACGTACGACGGCGCTAACGTGAGATGCTTGCGTTGAACGAACAACCGAAATAGACGAGAGATACATCTTTTACTGGAAAGATTACACCTGAAAAAAAACTCCCTGCGTCCAACGTCGCATTTTTAAAGTCGTTGGGTTTCATCGTACGAAATGGTTGATATCTTGAATATTACCGGTGAGCCGATCTTTGACGACCGCATCGTCAAGATTGAGACTCACACGTACAATCCGTACGCCAACACTACGTTTGGACATAGCGACGAGATACGAATATTCATACAGCAGCAGGATTTGTACACGTTGCCGTGCGATAGTTTTCTCTACGTCGAAGGAAGATTGACGGTGAAGAAAAAAAACGATCAGATGTCGTCGACGCTTGGAAATAATTGCGTGAGGTTCATGTTTGATGAAATTCGATATGAACTCAACGGTGTGGAGATTGACCGTAACAGAAACGTTGGAATTACCAGTACCATCAAGAACTATGTATCGATGACGTACGACAAAGCTTTGATTGCACTGAACGCTGGATGGAACTCTAGATCCAACATGGAGGAAGGATACTTTAATTTTTGCGTGCCGCTCAACATGCTGTTGGGCTTTTGCGAAGATTACAAACGCATAGTTGTCAACGCTCGCCACGAATTGATTTTGATACGAGCGCGCAACGATTACAATTGCTTGGTGGGAAATCCTGCGACGGAGCCTGAAGTTGAATTATTCAAAGTGCAGTGGCTGATGCCTCACGTAGCATTAAACGAGATCAATAAATTATCAATGCTGCGAGCGTTGGAAAGCGGTCGTTATCTGAGTATGAGTTTTTGCTCGTGGGATCTGTATAAGTATCCTTTGTTGCAGAATACGACCAAGCATTCATGGACCGTTAAAACGGCGACTCAGCTTGAGAAGCCGCGATACGTTATCTTTGCTCTGCAGACCGGCCGAAAGAATGTCATGTCACAAGATGTCAGTGTGTTCGACGATTGTAATTTGAGTAATGTGAAAGTATATCTAAATTCAGATTTTTATCCATATGGTGATTTAAATCTGGATTTTGGTAAAAAGAGGTACGCTGTCCTGTTTGACATGTATGCGCGTTTTCGTAAAGCATATTATGGAATCGATAGCTTCGAGACGCTGCTCAACGTACTATCGTTTATCGAGAAAGGACCTTTTGCAGTCATTGATTGCTCGCGACAAAACGAATCCGTCAAGAGCGCCACTGTGGACGTACGCATAGAATTGCATTTGATTGCAAGGAGAATGTGCCCGCCAATACTACCGCCTATTGTCTCATCATACACGATCGTGTAATCGAATACTGTCCGTTGTCTAATGTAGTGCGCAAAATCATGTAAATTGCAACGTCAGCAAGTGTCCTGAATATAAAAGAATGGAAAAACCTGGGTGTGGAGCAGTCTCGAAAAATTGTTCGTCATGGCCATACCAACGTTTGTGGATTTGCAAGGATTCATCGTTAACAAGAAATTTATCGTGAAGGAAGTAGCGGTACTGAGAGGGGGAACCATTCTCACACACTATATTTTTTCACATCCTATGCCATGGCATTTTCTGACGAGATTCGACAAATCTTGCGCTTCCTGGTTGAGTACTTATCACCATGGATTGCGGTGGGATGACGGAATGGTCCCTTACAGCATGGTGAGACGTTTAATTACGGAAGCAGTGTTAGAAGAGGATGAAGCTGTCATATATGTCAAGGGACACGAAAAACGAGGATGGCTAGCTGATATGCTCGACACTGATGATATCATCGTCGAAACTCTGGATGCGCATTACAAAGAT